GTGCTGGCCTCCCTGTTTTAATGCCCTCATCACCTTTCAGTTACTTCCTAATCCATCTTTGAAGAGTGTGATAGTTTACAACACATTTTCCTCTTCACTCAATATCTGGACAAGAGGCTTCACTGAATAATTGAATACTTGACTCTTTGTGTCAACCTGAGTAAGGACTACCAACTGCCACAAGCAATACTACGAGTTTCATAACAATTGAAACAGGGCTTGCGCAGTGCACAAGTGCTCTCGCCCAGAGAGCAAAAAGTATTGATTGGAAGTTTTAAACTTTGATTTGAAGTTACAAACTTCAGGTAGAAAGTCTACCAGGTTCTACTGAGCTAGTTTTTGGATGGCATTCATGATTGAAAGGCCAGGACTCATGATTGAATCACCTCAAACCATTTTGTTTTGTTTTGAGGGGAATCGATTTGGTCATTCAGTCATTTTAAAAAACTAGCTCAGTAGAACCTGGTACATCACGTACAAGAAAAAGTTCATAACTTCAAATTGAAGTTTAAAACTTCCAATCAATACTTTTTGCTCTCTGGCAGAGTCCGGTTTCAATTGTTATGAAACTCGTAGTATTGTGATCCTTCTACATTGGGTTCTTGTAATTCTCTAACTGGGTTAAAATGCTATCAGCTGACCTTGTGCATGACCTTCTTCTTGGTCTCTTTGCTGGATGTGATACTATTGATGGGGTAATTGGATTGATTGGTTTCTCAAACACATGTTCAAACATAGACTTCCTCTTGTTCACCTAATTCGCAGATGTCTGAAGCCTTTCACTGATGACTCTCTGCTTCTTTTCTTAAGGTAATGTAGCAGACAGAAGATCATTTACCAGTCTAAAATTTCCATCATATTTGAGTGCTTGATCTAGGAGGTCAACCCGTTTACCAACTCCCTTTTTCATCAATTTGATCTAAGGGGTAGCTTCATCAAGTCTCTTTTTTCTCCACTGGCAACAGTGACAAGGACTTCATCCAGGAAGGAGGAAAGGTTGGTTAGGATGGTCTCTCCTTCAATGATGCTCTAGATCCTGAGCTGTTGTTTTGTTCCATTGGTTGGCATTGTTGTTGTCCAATTGATTCCCCGAGAGCTGTTTTGCTGGGTTGATTCGCTGGTCCATTTGTTGCTCCTTTGAATCAATGGATTGTCAGAATTTCTGCTCCTGTGTCTGCTGATGCTTTTGCGCTAAAAATTATATTCTTCCAAGCTCTGGAACTATAGATATGGTCTGAACAGTATAAGAGGTGCAAATCCAATCAAAAGTATCCTGCCACTGGGCTGCCTTATCAAATCACTGGTGCTGCTGTCAAATCAAACCGCCTGGTCAATGCAACAACTGGTGATAAAGATAATGTCTGCAAAAAATTGTGTTCAAATCTGATGTCTAGTTTGAGGTATAGAATGGCAAGCTGCTACCATGGGGAAGTGTGTGGTGTAATGGTTGTTTGTGAAGAAAAAAAATAGAATTTGATGATGACATTGCCTGGGGATTTACTAGGGAGCCGGCCTGAATTCAAAATTGATTTTCCCCCTAAATTCAATTTTTTCCCTCCATAAAAAACAAAAAGTAAAAAGTTGCAGTTTTGTAACTGCAAAGATGGCTTGAAAGAAGATCAATTCAAGTTTTATTTAAACCTTGGGTCAAACTCCCGATAATGCTTGGGCAACAACATACTAAAGTAACGCAGACAAGTGTGCAATAAATGTTGACATATTTTCTAAGTTTCTCAAAATGACACTTTCAAAAAAGATGAAGGACAAATTACCAGATCAGACTATTGCAATGAAGGCCTCAACTCTTAAACTGCATATTGACAAAACAAGAAGAAAATACAATTGAGATATGTCATATTTTCAGAAAAACTGCTTACTAGTAACTGCCACATCACATGATGCTGACTTTGTTGCAGGCAGAACCAAACCTTCCAAAAGGATAAATCCAGTGCTAAAATTGCATATCAGTAGACCTATAATGATTGATGACAACACATACTAGGTGTTGAAAAATCAAAAGCAAAATCATAGAGTCATTTGATGTACATTCAAGTCTGTCAAACTGAAAAATGAGTACCAGGTTTGTAAAAGTACTATCAACATTGATGGATATTTTGTTTGATGGATATAGATGGTCCTTGAAGAAGAAGACTCAAAAATACTGCAGCAACAGCAAATTTTGATGTCCATAAGAATGTAAATCCAAAATTACCCATCAAAGTCAAACAAGTCACAAAGGAACAGATTGAAATCAATTCCAAACTAATATTTCCAATACAAGAACTGTTCACAAATTATAGAGAAGATTTTCTGAAAGTATGGTGTTTTCAACTTGGTCTTACACAAGCAATTGGATTTCTTATGTTGTTGTTATTGTGCTTTCTTCAAGAGCAGTTGTTTGCTTTTAGAACTTCTAATAATAGTAGTACTACTGGTCTGTTTGTAAGAACACCTCTTCTCCTTACAAAAAGCACCACCACCAACAACTACTACCTATAGTCAAAATACACAGCAAATCATCAAATTGCTATATTTTTATTTCAGAAACAACAAACAGCCACAGTGCTTTCATTAATTAGCTTCTACTAGTACATTCTTTTCAGAATAGTACTTTCCACCTTACTGGCAGCACTAACTAAGCAGTTTTTGCACTGTAGAAACTATATCTGTTAGTAGCAAGCCAATTGTTGAGTTTGTTTTTTATGCTTGAAGTCTTAACAAGAAAATATTTGCATGCTGGGCAAGCCCAGTTTCAATTGTTGCAAAACATGTAGTACTACACACTATTTAGGACAAAAAGCCATACTCTTCTCCTGTATGAAGTACTAGAGTTCCTAAGTTCAAGCGCACTAACATCAAGAAGTTCTTGGCAATTCCTCGGCTGTCATTTTTTTCATTTTTGTTCTGTATTTATTTTCCCTATCCCCTACCCCTCCAAACAAAAAAATGTCCCAAAATATGTCTAAAAGTGGTCCTTACTACTGGGGGTATAATATCAGTGGTTACTAATAGTACTACTTGAAAATTTCCATTACTAGTAGCGCTTAATACTGACAACCTCTATCACTACTTATTACTAATAGGGATGTTGTAGTAGTAAGCACTGGTGCAAACTGTTGGGCAATGCTGTTCTGTTGGTGCTGCTCAGCACTAATGGAAATCTTAAAGTATTAACCACAAATATTATCCCCAGTAATAAGGACCACTAGTAATAGAAATATTTTGGGACCAGCGAGAAAAAAAACAATGAAAATATTACTTTTATTTTTGGATTTCTATTGAAACTGGTTTTTACTGTAAAAATGAGCTAATGCTTGTACGGGAATTGCCAAGAACAGTGCGCTTGAACTTAACACTGGGAGTTCTACAGGTAATACTACAAGTTTTGTAACAATTGAAACCGGACTCCGCCAGAGAGCAATAAGTAATAATTTCAAGTTCTAAACTTATGTACCAGGTTCTACTGAGCTTGTTTTTAAAATGACTGAATGACCGAATCGATTCCTCTCAAAACAAAACAAAATGGTTCAAGGTGATTCAATTATTAATCCTGGCCTTTCAATCATGAATGCCATCCAAAAACTAGCTCAGTAGAACCTGGTAGACCTTTTACCGGGACATTTTGAAGTTCATAACTTCAAATCGAAGTTTAGAACTTGAAATTATTACTTTTTGCTCTCTGGCGGAGTCCTGTTTCAATTGTTACGAAACTCGTAGTAAAGACGAAGGAATTTTTCCTCTCTTTCAAAAAAAAATTTCATTCATGGATTCCGTCGTTCAGAGGGATGAAGAAGGAAGAACGTAGAACAAGTTCACATTTCGTTGCAGTTCCACATTCCCTAAACTCATGACAGCAGCAAATGGAACCCATCGTTACMAGTAAAGCTGAGCGTTGCGAGTTCGATGCGTAAGGATTACTGTAGTTGTGCATTTCTCCGTGGCTCAGAGAGTTTTTTGTCCTCTCAGACATCTTTGGACTAAAGATAAGCAAGGGAACATCAACTTGCTCTTGGGTTTGTTCTTGGCAAGATGGCKGTCGAGAAAATATCTCAACGCAGCAGAAAGCCAAAAAGTGCTGGCGAAATAAGATCCACTACGGACTGCATTGACACAAACCCCGAGCATTTATCGAGAAATGTATCGTCGTCACTATCACTGCCATCTCAATCGTCGTTTCGCAATAATTCTTTCCCACTTGGATGCCTGATCTACTTTTCATATTCAATGTCGGTTGCCGTGGATAGCCAGTTTTTATCACTTTACTACAAATCAAAAGGGTTTGATGGGGCTACACTTGGCATGCTGTATTCCCTAACACCAATGACCACTTTTCTGACTGTGCCTATTTGGAGTTTGATAACAGCGGGACGTGACACTAAACATCCCCATCGGAGGAGTGGTGGTATCAGAAGCAATGCCAACGAAGAGGTTTCGGAGACAGCACTGTTCAAAACCCTTTACTTTTGCATTCTTTTAGCCACTGCAAGTCAAATATCTCTCGCAATTTTTAACGATCCAATCTACATGATGCTTGCTGTTACTATTGCGGGGATTTTTCAGTCCCCGGTTAAACCGATGTTGGATGGTATAATTATGGATCAGCTGAAGGATCGAACTGAATTTGGTAAGGTTCGTTTCTTTAGTATTTTGGGATCCGGCTTTGGAACACACTTGGGTGGTCGATTGCTGAGTTCATTTCAAGCAACCACAGATCATGATCCAGAAACGAGAGATAACAACGAAGATAAAAGTGTTTGGGACACAACATGGAATTTGTCTTTCGGTTTTAATCTACTATTTTTTGCTCGCATTTTATTGACGATCCCGCCAATATTATTGATTCGATACCTTCATGTTGCAGCTTCGAAAGGAATTGAAAGTGGCGATGTGGTACCATCAACTCATAAAACAGGTCGTGAGAAACGCGGTCAATCCTCCTTGAAAAATGAGAACCCAACTCAAACGTATTCGCTCGCTCGAAGCGTCATAAGTGCTATTAGCAGAGACAATCTTCATCTGCTTTTTTTCGTATGCATATTCATCGCAGGAGCTTCTGGAGGCGTCTCAGATGCATTTTCGTGTGAGTGAATACAAAACAATGTGCACATATGTGAAACGAGCGAGAAAATCGAATTGACGTTTTCTGACGTGACTTCTACTTCATTATTGCTCGCCTTCTTTTCCTGTAGATCTCCGATATCAAGAGTCTGGGTGTAGTACAGTACACATAGGGCAGAGTCGTCTGCTTTCTAGTTTTGCCGGAGCCATAATGTTTTGGTATTCGGGTCGTGTCACTCAATTATTGGGCATTCAGAATGTCCTGGTTTTGACCATGATTTGCACAGGCATTCGATTTTCATTGCTGAGACAAATGAAGCATCCAGGCTATGTCTATCTCATAGATCTTATTCGGGGCGCGACCTATGGTATCTTTTGGAGCTCCTCGACAATTTTTGCAAGCCAAATTGGTCCACCAAGTCTTCGAGCGACCATTCTTCTTCTTTTGAATGGAATCTACAATGGAATCGGTCGATCGACTGGAGGATTTCTGGGAGGAAAATTCCAGGGCGTTTTTGGCATCGACAATTTATACTTGTGGTGCTCGCGAATAAATTTTACGCTGGCCATTGCACTGGCTATTTTATGCTATCGCAATCAGAAACAAGGCTCAGACTGTACCGATCACAGAATGCATGGCAAAAACACAATGCATGCCAAAAAGGTGGAATAAGAAATTAATTTTACTAACGATAATTGCACTCTACGACACCGTGCCGAAAAATTCCTGCAAATTGAATATTGCTTTTTGGGATTCTTCTGAACCAAAGGATTTTGTTTTCTACCAATATATTCTTTTCACTACGACTACCGAAAGGGATACCCTTGCCGCCTATCAATCACTAGGGTTTTCATGAAATCCCTACAGCGAGCTTTGTCTACGTTTGTGGTGAATGGATTTCTAAAGGACAGTGGCAAGTCATCATAGAGCATCAAGATGAGAGAATATAAGCGTTGGCACAGCTTCGAGTTTTGGATTAGAAAAAATGTATTTTTTACTTTCGTCGAATACAACAGTCTTCACGATCATAACTGCAGCGTTCCGATTTTATAAAATATTTTCACGCCCAACCCATGTTTCGAAAAAATGTTCTTCTTCAAAGGTTTTTTAAATTTCTTTTCTATTCCTGGCGATATGAGGAAACCAAAAATGGTTGTAGCAGTAACCCCTTGGTAATACTATTGAAAAAGGCAACAGGACTGATCTAGTATCCAATTCCAAAAGGCCGAATGCACAAAATCTTTCCTCCAAATCGTGTTGCACAAGCTGCATCCTTGGCCTCCTTGGCAATCTTCTTCTTGTCATCGGCAATAGCTCGCAACTGCTTCGCCTTATTCTCGAGTTCCTTCGATAGTAGTGTAATGTTGGATTTGAAACACAATGAACAAACAGAAAATTAGATACAAACATCACATCGAAGAAGTGGATGCAGGAATTGACCGCAGTGAGTGGAAACAAAGAGAGAGTATAGATTTAGCAAAACTCACCCTTGCATTCGAATCTGCTTCGTTAAAAGCCGTTCGCGCTTCCTTCGCTTTTTGGTCACGTTCTTCTTGGTCATCAACAGTGTTGACATCGTCAAGAGACGTGTATTCGCCCGAGCTACTGCTACTACTGAAAGAAGGAGTAGAGAAGCTTGGCACCTTTGGAGTTTCGAAGGAAGGAGCAGAAAAACTTGGTGCCTTGGGTGCTTCGAAGGTAGGAGCAGAAAAACTGGGGGCCTTGGGCGTCTCGCTGCTGGTGCTAGGAGTCTCGATCTTTGGCATTTCAGGCATTTTGGGCATCGAAAACTTGGGAAGAGAAACTTCCGGCATTTTAATATCGGGTGCCTTGATCTCCGGAATGTCGAGATTATACTCTGGTGCCTTGAATTCGGGTGCCTTGAAGTCGGGAATCGCGAAAGAAGGAGATTCTGTCTCAGCTGGAGCAGACGATGCCGCTGAAGCAGCTGCAGCCGCTGCAGCTTTTTCTTCCTTCTCCTCGTTAGCTCGCTGCACTGCCAATCGTTGTTTCTCCTTTTCTGCCTCCCGACGAGCTTCCTTTTCTGCCTTTTTTCGAGCCACCTCGGCCTCTTCCGCCAATTTCTTTTCGGCCGCTGCCTGTTTTTCAGCCGCTTTCTCTGCCTCTCGGGCGGCCTTTTCGTTTGCCTTTCGCTGGGCGGCTTCTTCTTTTTCCGCTTGTTTTGCGGCTTCGGCAGCGGCCTTGTCTTCGGCAGAGGTATCGGGTGCAGCAGCGGGTGCTGCCGCAGGTGCCTCTTCCTCGCTTCTCTTAGAAAAATCAAAATCAGCGAAGGGATTTGCGAACGAAGGGGCGTTATCTCCTGCCTTAGCTTTTGCAGATGACGACGAAATAGAATCACCATATGATGGCAAAGAGAAGTCCAAGAAATCGTCAGCTAGCTGGATTGACGATCCAGAGATGGCACTTTTGAAGGAATTTTCCACGTTCATCATTTGGGTATTTGTTGTCAAATCTATTCGGTGGTATCAGATGTGTACACATTGAAAGAAACACACAGACAGGAATCGTTATCATTGATATAGAAAGTCAGTATTTGATGGGAATGGAAAATGAGAATAGAAGTGGAAATTACTCATCGATTTCGTCAACTTTTGCAAATTACGCACCTTGGCCCCGAACGATTGGCGTTGCTTCGTTAAATTTGGGTACCGCTGCTACTGCCGACGGGTCCACAGCTGCAACTGCCATCTGGGATGCAAGAGTCAAACCTGCCAGTCCTGTCACGGCGGGTCCGACCATCTTGTCCCAATTTCCATTTTCCTTCTGGAGATTCAAATGGGTATTGGTTGCTTTATGAGTATTTCGCACAAATGCGACCGTTGATGGAATACCACAAATTGCCAATACTGCAGCACCGTGAATCTTCATAGTTGTTGCTCTCTACTTCTTTCGTTTTTTAAAAATGTCCTAGTTTGACTGATTGATTCAATAACGGCAGCACTTTCTACTGGTGAAAAAGGAACAGTTTTTGTTGGCGATGGGGAAACATTCCTTGATACTGGTACTTCGTTATTGCAATCACGTCGTCGTCAGATGTTTATTTTTTCCAATAAAAATCCAATCACACGCGTCAACTTGACACCTAAACCGAGGAAGATCCTCAGGAACTTGGAAAATTCAACTTTCAACTTGTGCACGCGGATGTCATTTCGATACGACAGTACGATAAGTACCGGTACGTACTTATCGGCTAAAAGCTAAGAGTACAGTAGTACGGTACATAAAAGGGAGGGACGGATCAATACACTAAATACAGTACTGTAGTAGTAGTAATACGTAATACCGTTACAATAACTCCTAGCGCGAATAGTACGAGTAGTACCGGTACTCGTATGTATGACCGCTTCCTACGCTACGGTACTGTACCTGTACTGTGCGACTTCTGCATGCGTGCTGCCGATGTTTAGTGGAATATTTTGGGGGAATATTTCGGGGAAGCGATGAACGCACCGATATGAAGGCACTGAATGTAGAAGGTGCGCGCGCAGCCCTTCTTCCGGCAACTCACCTTATTTCATGCAACTCAAATTGCATTCCTAGTATTATTGCCTCCATGCAAAGAAAAAAAAGTACCACATAGGCCCACCCCCCCTCCACCCAAAATACCCATTTACATGTACTACTACTACTGTTTTTACAACTGTATTTGATTATTTGTGATCTTATCACATAGTAAAGGTAACAGTACTATACAGTACAACTAGTAGGGGTCGGCAATGCAAGAAGGGTATGCAACTATTTGGTGAAAAAACATTGTGCTGCAACAGTCCACAATGCCTCTTTTCCATCCTTGACTGTTGCACAATGCTGTTGTAAAATGTATAGTATTAATATAATTACTTGATAGTAGTCCCATACCACCACTGTGATGTTGCTATTCACAAATCACCATTCAAAGATGTGCCCATTTGTTTCTCATACTACCACCAACAATTTTTCAGCTACACCACCATAGTACAAAGTCCTCCCTGCAATATCAGGATCAACCTTAGTGGGTAGATTGCTGATGGTCCTCTGTGCCTTACTAAATATTCTTTCTGAAGGAGCAGATGTTGCTTGAACAGCAAGATACTTCCTTGCGAGAACAGCCAAGAATGTAAGTACAAATTGGTTCATTATATTTCCCCACCATTGTACTAGAGAGTTGTTGAAGTGCCTGGTCTTGTCACTCTCCATGTCCATCTTGAAGGGTGCAAGTTGGGGATGGGACATGTACTACCTAAGAAGCAGCTCCAGATTGCATGATTCCTTGATACTCTGAGGATTGGTAGACACTACTGCAGCTTGCTCTTTTTGTGCCTGCTGCCTGCTGTCACTGCATAATCATCAAAGGGTCCTACTCTTCTGTACTAGTACTACTAGTAGCAGTGTCATTATCACCAATAGCAGAGACTGCCACAGAGTCATTCCTGTTGCTGGTAGCATGATGCAACTACTAGTATTCCAACAGTAATTGCAGTAATATTACTAACTACTACTACTAGTAGACTACTACTAGTAGTAGTATAGAAGGTCTAAAAATTCATCTTAAAATTCAGTCTTGCCTAAATATTTGTTAGTCCCATATGTGTTCAGTCTTGCAGTTTTTAGTCCCATATGGTTCTGTCTTGCAACAGCCAATGTGTACTAGGAAAGTGTAGCATTGCACCATTGCAAAATTTTCACCCTAGTGCAGCATTGCAACACTCAAATACCGTCGCGTTGCTGACCCCCAGGTACAACCTTTGATTAAGAGTCATACTACTACTACTACTCAGTACTAGTATTAGTTTGTTAGTTGTTGCACTCTCAACCATTGAAAATATACTATAGCACACAGTGCAAGAATACAGTTCTTTGGACGTGTGCCTACTGGGATGCTGGAGGTGCAAAAGAAAACTTAACTTTGACTCACTATTCAAACAACTGTGCCAATCAAGAAATAGCTGCAACAAAGAAATGACACAACCAACACCAGCACAAGGAGCTCAACCAGCAGCAGGGGGGGGGGGGGGGGGGGGCAAAGAAGCCCAGAACTAACAGCAGCAGAAAGAGGATAGTATAGAGGACACAGCAATGCAGTGATTGTGGCAGAGGAGGAAATGCAGGTCAAAATGAAAACAATGCTACTGGAAATGGAGCAGAAGATACCACCAGAGCTACTGCCTTCTCGGAACTCATTACTAGAGTGATGGATGCTGCAGAGGAGAACAGCAATAGTAATTCTAATGGAAAAGGACACAGATCACAACAAGATCATTATTGATATGCAACTACTTTGGCCAGATATTCATGTTGGTAGCTGTCTATATTACAATGGGGTTTGTCTGCGCACACCAATGAATGTATATTGAATAACAACAAATGAATGGCTTATCAAATCTGTTACTCCTACTAATATTGCAATTGTATTCAGCAATGAAGTGACTGTCATTCTAGGGAAGGCTTTGCTCTAGGCTGCATTTGAACCCTCTTTGGTAGGTACTATTCCTATGATATAAGGAGAATTGTGATGGCATCTTTTGGACAGCTGAATACCAGAGTGTGTGCAAATGGTGGTGCTGGTATTGCTGTTTATGATGGGGTGCATCATATTCAAAAAGTTGAGATGGTTGCAAGTGAAGCAGCAGCAGGTTAAATAAATGTTATGAGCTGTTTGAACCAGAGCTAGACCAAGAAGGCACTGCTGGTGGGAATGGTCCTTTTGTCCCAATGAGAATAAGAAGAACTTATCAACAGTGGATGAATGTGATGTATACAAAGATGCAAGATTTACAAGGGAGAATTTCAAACATGGTGAACCTGCTGATAAAAGAATTTGCCTTACAAAAGCAAAGAAAGAAAAAGATGCTTGAAGCTGGTGCTTGCAATCAAGCTGCCATGCTACCAGTTTCTAGGAGAAGAGTGAGACCCTGTCTTGTTCATCCAGGAGCAGCCAGTGATGGTGATGGTGATGGTGATGGTGATATGGTGATATGGTGATGCTGCTGGTGATGCTGCTGGTGCTGGTGTTGAACAGGAGCAAGGAGCAATCCTGCAGAAGAACCCTGCAAATTTGTTTGTCATCTGGAATGAATGAGAATCTGGATTTGCAGGGAATAAACCAGCAAAGAACTTCACTCCAGCTGAAAGAAATTCATAGGAGTACAAGTCTTTAGTATACCATAGAAGGAACCAGTTTTGGCAATGCATTGAAAGAGTGATAAAGACTAGATCAGGTAATGCTCATGATGGAATCCATACAGTAGTATACAGAGTGTACAGGCAGCAGGAGGAGATTGTGACAAAAGATACTGAAGGATCTTGCAAGGTGTAAGAGGGAAGGTGGACACACAGAGTTGAGATAGCTAGTTAGCAATGATGTGTCAATCTAATGCGGATTGCTTGTCCCTGAACCAGCCTAAACAACCCAAATATGTTTGCTTGGATGTGTCCCCTGTAAATCCTCCTCCTCTAATGTGTTGCCCCCCTTGCTGCTTCTTTGCTTGGCAATACTGCTGCTTTTTGTTTTAGTTTGTAGTCCTCAGTAATAAGTAATAAGAACAATATTTGCTACTGATACTAGTCATGCTATTAGTAGTTGCATGTGTTGCTGATGACAATGTATGATTGTCCAGAATCACCTTCACAACTTGTGGTTTCTAATAGAAATTGACTGGTCAAAAATTATGTGAGTACTTCTTTCAGTTGGTGTCAGTTGGTTGTGTTCCTCTTGATGTTTTCTTGGTCAGTAGGATTAGAGTAAAGTGCACCAAGTAAATTGCACATATATGTAGTGTTGCATTTTTTGTTACATTATGTCTCTAGTATACCCCCACTGTATTATTTTTTCATTTTCTATTTGAAGTACTTCATACCTAACAACATTATTATTATTACTAGTATCAATGCTACTAATAGTAGTAGCACTACTACTAGTAGTAAAACGACCCAACTTGTCTTCACTTGTTTATCTGACGGTAGTGGTAGTTTCCCCAGCAGTGGTGGAGTCAAGGTAGGGCAAGGAAGAAAATCCATTTTGCTTACAGTAGAACGGTGATAATTTTTTGACATCTCGCCGATTCCAAATGGACATCTCGCCGATTCCAAATGGAAAGCCCTTCTCACGAATTTGTGGTAAAGTATAGATTTCTAGCTTGTTCATGCTTTAACAAGTTGGTTAACTTCATGATGAACCAATTTTGAGGTGTTGTCCCCTAGTCAAGTGCTGTACGAAGCAAGAGATTCTGACACGAAAATTTTGGAAAAGTAATCCAAGACTTCTAAACTAACGTCCTATTTTTATCAAAGCTCATCGCAAGATGTCGCCTTGTCGAGTCACCAACGGTAAATATCAGCGTTATCCCCTGCGCTACTACTCTTGAGTGTCTTTCCTTTGCGCACAACCATGTGATAGACATAAAAATAATGGTTATCATCCCCTAGACAGTACCTGCCGTTGCCATCTTTGTACCAGATACAACTTCTTTTGGCACATCGTCGCTTGCTCTCCATATTTAATTTGCAACTGTATGGCTCTTTCGATTTCGGATTCATCGATCTTTCCTCCAGAGGTCCGTGATAGGACCGCCGACGACGAGGACAACGAAAACGACGATCCCGATTGTTCGACCGTAGCTGCAGCGGCATTCCTCAACCGCGACACGTTTTTGTACGCAAGTTTATATTCCAGGGCTTTGTACCTGCACAGTGCTTCCCATGCAGTGACGGCCAAGTAAATTTTTGCCTGTAGATCATCCATCGTTTCCGATCGCACACACCCAATATAATGTTGTATGCGACTGAGCACTGCAAAGTACCGTTTCATTTTCAGGTTTCGCTCCAGTTGCAAAATGCTGGGTTTTGGAACTCCCGAATGACGACAGAAATTGATTGCGGCTGAAATGGATCCAACGAGGGCATCGATAGTATTTTTAATTTGGTACTCGGCGTCCTCTCGACTCGAACTACTAATATGAGAGGAAAAGAAAACATTCGACGGCGATCGACTGTTTTGAATCATCCATGATGATTGAGACGACAAAAACGACGATTCGGGTCTACTTCTCACTCTGATTCTGTAATCCACTAACTGTTTCGCCGGAGACATGGTCAATTGTTGCAATTGTTGTTCGTCTCCACATTCGGTAACCATTAATTCGGCTTTCTCTCTTTTCGACACAAAAGGTGAATCGGTGTCGTCGTCATTCCATGACGACTGTTGTAATTCTGACCCCAGATCCAGCTCCTGACACCTCGATAAACTTCCCATATCGGTGCCGTCTTCAACGGTGAAAACATGGTGTTCGAACGAAGAGGAGCAAGAGGAAGAGGTCGACGACGATGTCGAAGAAGACGCGAGCGAGGGCTGACGTCTGTGTTTTGGCGGTGGAGAGTGGGTCATCGTCTTCACAACGGTCGAAGTTTTGAGGAATCCCATGCGAGAACTTCTCTTTGATCTGGTTTCTCCGACCGTGATCTCTTTATCCTGTGCAATGTATAACTCTGAGTGAATATAATCCGAAATTAAAGAATGAAGGAGTAGATAAAAAATCCACAAAAATCAAAACATTTCTACAACTACACGTAGTCGATGTCTTGTAACCAGAGGATGTTGTTCCTACAGAGCTTTTTGTGATGGCTTGTCAGCCTCTGTCCGGAAACGTTTTGTACGATACGTTTTCGAAGACAAGGTACGACAGAATACGATACCGTTCAGTACCTCTCTGTACTCGTATGTACGAGGTTCAACGGAGTGAATTCAGACAGATCGCGAGAAAATGAAACTTATGGTTACGTCGGTTTCTTTTCTATTTCACCGAAATTGTGGCCCGCAACAAGAGCTTGCGTCAGCACCTGTAAAAACTCGAATGTTTTACGAAGTAGGGTACCGTACTTTACGAAGTACAGTGGAAGTATCGTTTTCTACCAATGGCCATAGCCCTAAGGTACGGTATCATGCAGTACAATCCATTCTCAGAGGTAATGCCAAATTCGTCGAAGAATACTGTCAATTCGAAGAGTATGTATGATGACAACTCACAACCTCATGACATATGGGGCACGTATTTTTGAAGAACAAGAGGCTTATCAAGGTGTCTCCGCGCGATCAAACACTCATCGGAATAGAAGTTTTTGGTAATTTACGGTTAGAAAATAGGCCAGAACTTTATCAAAAACAGTCTCTAGACCACCAGACAAAGAAGCACCAAACCCAAGTTGATATAATTACTACTTAAAGATCCATGTCATTGGGAAGCCAAAGGATGCTCTAGTGGCTTAGAACTAGCTAGTCAGCCAAAGTTTCAGTAGTGGGTGGCCAAAAATCCTTTATTCTAGGTGTAATTTTATGTGGATTAAACTGGTACTAATTAAGTCCTTGATAATGTGATGCACCCTATTATTGTCAGCCTTGAACTTGTCACTGTTGTGAGTAGTACATCCAATGAGGTACTCATCCCAAGATTCAAAAATGTTGCTGACACCAACATCACTGTAGACATGAGTGTTGGGGACATTAATCTTGTCACAGAAGGCATAAAGCAGCAATGGCATCCCCCCAGAATCACCACATCTCATAGCTGCAAGATGAGTACACAAGGCCCAGTCAAACTCTCAGAATTTGTGCACTGCAGTCAATCAAAGACAGAGGCTTCACTTGTTGACCAATCTTGTTAATCTTCTCTGAACAATGCTCATGAATCACTCTACCCAACATACTGTCCAACTGATCTGGGCGATTTAACCAATCAACAGCACGGGCAGGCTTTCTTTCCAACCAACACATAGAAGCCAATCCAATTAACAAGTAACTTGATGTTGTTGAAGCCCACATTGGTCAGGTGAAACTTCTTGGGGTTTATCTTGTTGAAACCCGAATAAAAGTTATCAAGAGCTTGAGAATCACAGCCTCTAATCTGCTCCATGGAAGTCCAACCCTGCTTAAACAGTTCATTTACTGCATCCCATGAGATTTCCAAGCTCAACAACACCATGCAGAAGTTTCCTTCATCAATGGTAAGTCTTTGACCTCATTTGTACCTGGGGATGCCCTGAAGCCTGTCTCTATCTATAGCAATCATCTGCAATGTCCTCGAGCCTAGCAAATCTTTCCTCAAACTTGCCTTCCATTCCTCCAATCCTGTCATTTAGCTTCTCCATAGTAGCTTGTAGAAGCCTTGTACCAAGATCAGGTGCAGGGACAGTAGCATCAACATCAGCAACAACCTTGTCCTCAACACTGGTCACATGGGAATCAGGGTCAGTATCTCTGGATCTGTGTCCACTGCCTATCAAGGTTGGGTGCTAAGAATCCAGGGCTGGGTCATCCAAGATGCTTTGCAACAACAGATCAAGTTGAGGGCATGATAGCTAAATAATTGATCACTTAAAAATTTGAATTCAAATTTCAAACAGCTTGGCTTATCAAGTCAATCAGTGGCTGGTGGTGATCCTCTTTTAATTGCAATTGATGGATTAAATGGTGGTTGCTCAGGTGTGCTATTTAAATCAACATTGTTACTACTGGTCTTTGCCACTGTTACAAATTTTTTGTTGTTACATATTCAATATTGTTGTTGTTGCCGTGTGTGGGAGCGAATGATGTGTGAATCAAATGAGTCAAGTCACTCACGCTAGTGAATCAACTGAGTCATGTCAATCATATGGATCCATACGTGACGTACTAGGATTGAGTGAGTCATATATGTATAATGCGTATGAATCATAGGTATGGTACATATATACGTGTTGTAGATATGAATCAGCATACCCACAATCCAATATCCTACAGACAGCACCATGGCTATGTTGATCTTCTAAATAGCAAGATAGCTGATCCGGTTATTGCTATTCCAATATGTGGAATAGTGCAGCTGTGTTGGCTGTCTAAATTTTCTTTCCTTGCATCACAGTAGTGATAATTGTAACAAGCAGCAATTATCCTGCTGCTATTCACTGTGAATAGCCTGTGTCCCTTTGCAAGGTCCCCTTTCTATATCATGAGGAATTCCTGATGCCATCTAGTGATCAGCTAAATGGATTTAATGTAGCACTTGGTGTATCTGGAATAGTCTCCAAATCCACATTCCAAATCTGTATTCCGAATAGCTTGAGGTCTCGTGGTTGAGTTGCTGGGTCTGATAAACTGAATAAATTGCGTGTAGAATAATGAGCTAGTAGTGTAGTGTCTATCTATTGATACATGTAAACAGTACTACAATACTTTTAAGGAACTTAGCAGATATGAATTAATGACATGCACCACCATACTGCTATTTAAAGCAGCTGCTAATGTTGCATGGCCCAAGTTGGGGCATGATAAGGGTGTTTTAGTAGATTAAGGTGAAGAAAAAGAAGTGTGTGTGAAAGAAGCTTCCCCTGCATACACAGTTTTATTGCTAAGACTGTGTGTGCTGTCTTAAAGGGTCATCAAGAAGGCTTCTTTACAGTCACACAGGATTGGTTTGAATAGCCCGCGACCAGCAGTGTAGGTAGTACATATGTCTGCTAAAACATACGTCACACAAACCGGATCTATGGTACTGCGCCTTTCACGCGGTTGACACCATCGAAGTTTCAGGGTCAACCCTTAGTCTTTCGTGATTG